AGGTAGAGCATGGCGTGCACGCTGCCCCGCGCCGCCGCGTCCTCGAAGAGCTTCACCGCGGAGGAAGGATCCTCGGGCACGTCGTCGCCGGACAGAAACATGCGGCCGAGTTTCATCATCGCGGTCGTGTCGCCGTTGACCGCGTCCGCTTTCAGGGCCGAAATCTTGGTAGCGAGGCTCGACGCTTTCCGGTGCCTCTTGATGTGGGTCCCCGGCTGGCAGAGCCGCTCGCTCGACGTCTCGATCCAGGACGGCGACCCCGGCGATTCCGTCTTGACCGCGACCCAGCTCGTCCCGCTCGTCTCGACGACGCGCGCCGCGTACCACAGGGGCTTGTCCTCCGACCGCGTCTCGACGCCGTCGCCGACGCGCAGCTGCCGCCGCCAGTCCTCGGTAAGCGCGAAGCGCGGCTCCACGTTCGCCCAGAAGCCCTCGTCGTCCCGGTCGAACCACGAGTCCCAGCGCGTGCTCCAGCCGCGGAAGTGGACCTTGACCCTGGACCCGTCGACGTCGACGACGACGCTGTCGAACCAGCGGCCCTCAGAGTCCCGCGCGTCGACGCCGTCGCCCGCCTTCAGCCCCGCGCCCCACCGGCGCCGCCAGGCGGGCTCGTCGACGGCCGGCGCCGGCGCCGCGACGGCCTCCGCGTCGCTCTCGCGGTCCCGCGCGGCGGCGCCGTCGACCGCGGGGCCGTCGACGTCCCGAGACGGCGCCGTCGGCACGTCGACGGCCGGCTCCTCGACGACGGGCGCGGCCGCTTCCTCGACGACCGCTTCCTCGACGACGGGCGCGGCCGCTTCCTCGACGACCGGCTCCTCGACGACGGGCGCGGCCGCTTCCTCGACGACCGAATCCTCGACGGTCGACTGCTCGACGGAGGCGCCGCCGCGGCGGTCCCTGGCCGCCTTGCGCGCGCGGCGGCGCTTCGCCGCCGCTGTCAACTTCGGTGTCGGCGCCGGCTCCGCCATCGCCTTGGGGTCGTCGTCGGACCGGCGCCTTCCGTCCATCGCGTTCAGCAACCGTCGCGCGTCGTCGTCGCCGGCGTCGGCCGCGCGGCTCACGAGCTCGCGCGCGCGCGCCTCGTCCTGGGGCACGCCGCGGCCCACGAGGCAGGCGGCGCCGAGGTTGACCATGCCGTCCGTGTCGCCCTGGGCCGCGGCCTTCTCGAAGAACTCGGCCGCGAGGCGCGGGTCCGCGGCGACGCCGCGGCCCTCCTGCAGCATGCGGCCGTAGTGGTTCTGCGCCTTCGCCACGCCCGCCGCCGCCGCGCGCGACAACCATAACACGGCCTAGAAACGACCGGGTCGCGTACGCGCGGGAAAGGGCGGGAGGCGGGAACGGAACGCGGCAAACGCGCGAGTCGATCGTCCGCGGGCACGCCTCTGCCGAGCATGAAGAGCTCCGCCAGTTCGCACTGGGCGCTCGCGAAGCCCGCCTCGGCGGCCAGGGTGAACCAGCGCACGGCCTGTTTGTAATCGGATTTCGCGCTGTAGAGCTCGCCGAGCCTGTGCTGCGAGGCGGCGTGGCCGGCCTCGGCGCAGCGCCTGTCGCGAATTAAAAACGCAACATCCATCTCCGCGACCATTTCGGCCGAATCGTTCATACTCTAAGTTTCAGCTCGGTCGAAGGGCTCGAAAGTGGCCTCGAAGCTTCTCGCATCGTCTCGCGCCGCGAGTGGGTCTTGAATCCGCACCGTGCACTCAACCTGCCGTCCGGCGCCTACGAGCTCCGGTCTCTCTGCGGCCTCCCTCCCCCCCCCTTTCCCCCGGCCAAAGGGCGCTCGTCGAGTGCGCATCTCCTTCAATAACTTGGTCAACATAAGTGCGGAGGTGTTATTTTGGGCCTTGTTGCGCCACTCGGGCACGACGCCTGGCACGCGGAGGTGGGCCGGGAAGGTTGAAGCGGCGTTTCACATATCCTCCGGCGGGATATGTTATCGCCGCCGCGTCACGATCACGAGTCGGCGGCCAAAACACAAAAAAAACCTAGCCGGGGGGGGGCACGTCGAGGTAGAGGAGCTCCGAGGCCCACTTCCCCCACTCGCCGCCCTTGGCCCAGGCGGGGAGCTCCGCGAGGAGCTCGACGATGGGCGGCGTCGCGTCGACCTCGACGTGGTGCGCGGCGAGGGCGAGCTCGAGGCGCGCGCCCGGCGCGAGGGCCACGGCGAGCGCGTGGTCGCAGGCGTCGCGGCACGTGCCGCCCGTGAGCTGCAGGAGGAAGACGCCGTCCGCGCGCGGCCGCGGCGGCGGCGGCGCGGCGCCGTCGACGCCCTCGAAGGTCCAGCCGGCGACGTCGCCCCGGAGCGCGAGCGTCGCGCTCGACGGCGCGCGGACGGCGACGGCGACGACGTCGCCCGCGCGCGTCGCGGTCAGCCGCGCCGGGCTCGGCAGCTCCGGCGGCGGCGCCTCCGCGTAGGCGTCGCCGCGGACGATGTCGCAGAGGGGGAAGAACCAGGGCCAGCGCATGTAGCAGTCCGACGGGTCCGCCCGCCGGGGCACGGGGCCGTCGCGGAGCGCCGCGCGCCACGAGCCCGCGCGCGCGCCGGCGAGCGCGGGCGATAGGCCCCGGCCGTCCATGGGCGACACCCACAGCCCCGACTCCGACGACGCGACGGCCCCGCCGCCGTCGGCGAGGACGCTCCGCGTCACGTGCTGGATCGTGAGCCGCTTCGGCGTCCGGACGCCGTAGGCCGGGAGGAGCGCCGCGGCGGCCGCGAGCGCCGCGAGGCCGAGCGCGACGGCGCGCGCCGGCGGCCGCGGGCCCGGCCGCCGGGGCGCCGCCAGCGTGAGGCCCAGGCCCGCGAGGAGCCCGAGGACCGCGCCGAGCACGGGGTCCGGCTGGACGACGCCCCCGACGCGGCCCAGGAGCGGCAAAGCGATGAGCAGCATCGTGTGCGCGACGGCGATCCACAACAGGAGCGCCGGCGCCAACGCCCAGGGGCGGGCGACTACGAGCGCCAGCGCGTTCACCGCGGCGACGTAGCCGCTGCCGAGGTCCGCGGCCGCGGCGGCGAGCAACGCGCCGCTCCAGAGCGCGGCGGGCCCGCCACGGTCGTCGCGCGGCGCCGCGGCGGCGTAGGCGGCCGCCGCGGGCGGCAGGAAGAGCGCGACGGCGACGGCGCGGCCGCCGGCGTACCAGCGCATGGGCGCCGCGAGGGCCAGGACGCCCCCGAAGGCCGCGGCGGCGGCCGCGGCCGCGAGCACGGCGCCGAGCGTCCGGACCGCGGCGACCGCCGCGCCGCGCGCGGACGACCGCCGGGCCGCGTGGACGAGCCCGAAGGCCGCGACGGCGACGTGCAGCACCTTGGCCGCGAACGATCCGTAGAAGACGACGACGAGCCCGAGGACGTCGAAGTAGACGTAGCCGTACGTCGGCGCGGGCGGCGCGCGCGCGCGCGGGAGCGCGCCGAGGCGGTCGACGCTCGCGAGGAGGTTCGCGCCGAGCGACGCGGCGGCGGCGGCCGTCGGCGTCCCGTCGAGTGGCGTGTGGTAGACCCAGCCGTCGTCGACGAACGCCGAATCCGTGCCGCGCGCGCCCTCCGGCAGAAAGTCCAGAAAGATGGCGTAGTCCGTCTTCGCCGCGCGCCAGAGCACGAACTGGAAGAGCTCGTGGGCGATGACGTTCGCGCGCCGGCCGACGGCGCCCGCGAGGACCGCGGCCGCGACGTCCTCGGCGCCGCACTGGAAGACGAGTTCGCGGTCGCCCGCGCCCATGGACTCGAGGTTCAGCACGAACTCGACGTTCCTGGCCCACTCGTGCTGCGTCGCGAAGGCGTGGGCGCCGAGCTGGTGGTTCTCCTCGGCGCCGTTGACGAGGAAGACGACGTCGCGCGCGAGCGCGGCCTCGCCGCGCGCCGCCAGCGCCCGGACCGCCTCGATCATGACGCCGACGCCGACCAGATCGTCGAAGGCGCCCGGCGCGCCGCCGAAGGAGTCGAGGTGGGCGTTGACGAGGACCGCGCCGCCGCGGCCGTTGCGGCCGCGCACGCGGAACGCGACGTTCGTCACGGAATCGTACGCGGACGTGATGCCCCCGAGGAACGCGGCGTGCTCGAAGACGCCCCGGTGGCTCCGCTGCACCTCCGCGTCGACGTGGTCGAAGGCCGCCTCGACGGCGCGCGCCTCCCGGAAGACGTAGTCCGCGGCCGCGCGCTCGTTCGCGTCGCTGCCTATTGGCCGCGGGCCGAGCGCGGCCAGCGCGGCGGCGTGCGACCGCGCGCGGCCGCTGTCGAACTCGGCGCTCCGCGCGCCGGGCAGCCGCCAGCAGAGGGCTTCGACGCCGCATAGCGCGAGGAAGAGGGCCAGCGACACGAGCCAGCGCCGCGGACCGTCGCCGTCGTCGCTCGTCGACGGTTCATGGAGCGGGCTCTCCGGCGGCGACTCGGCGTCGACGACCGCGAGGCGAGCCGAGTCGGCGACGACCGCGAGCTCGCTTCGCTTCGGGCTGTTGCGGCGCTTCATGGGGTTTTCACGAGCGGTGCATCGGCGCGCGCTGGGGCCACAGTCTTTGGATGACCCTGCTCGAGCAGCTTGATGATTTTTAGCGATTGATCATGTTGCCTTTGGCAACTGTGCTCTCCCGGCGTGTTCCTTGAGAGCGTCGTCCTGCGCCGTCGCCCGCGCGGCGTCTTCTCGTCCGCAGCCACCACCATGTCGCGCGCGGAGACGTTCCCGAAGCCGTCTATCCTCTGCCACTTCCTGCCGACGGACGCGCCGCTCAAGGCGACGCAGCCCGTCGACTTTGGCGCGGCGCTCAAGCCCGCCGTGCGCGAGGGCCGCGAGGGCGACGTCGCGGAGCTGCTCGCGGCGCTGACGCAGGCGCGGCAGATGGTGACCTGGGCCCTCGACAAGGACCGGTCCATGGTCGGCGTCGACGAGCTCGCGAGCCGCGTCCGCGAGTACGCGTCGCTCCTCCGCGGCTTCCGCGCGCCGCCGGGCGCCGCGGCGCCGCCGCCGCCGCCGGCCGACGCGGACGCCGCGGCGCCGGCCGACGCGGCGGCGGCGCCGGCCGACGCGGCCGCGCCGCCGCCCGCCTACGACGCGGCCGCGCCGGCGGCGACGCTCCGCCACGCCGTCTCGTACGCGTGGCGCGACCTCCTCGACACCAAGGGCCGCGACTGGGCCATGGCGGACTGCGACCTCGAGGAGGCGTCCGTGCTCCTCGCGGCGGCCCAGGCGCTCCTGAGCCGCGCCGCGCGCGAGTCCATCAACGACGCGAACGCCGTCGCCGTCTACGCGTCGCTCCGGCGCGCCGCGGGGTTCCTGGGCGCGTGCCGCGCGCGCGTCGAGGCCTTCGACGCGGCGCCGCGGCCGCCGGCGCCGGCGCCGAAGCAAGCCGAGGGCTCGTCCTGGTTCTCGAGGAAGAAGCAGGCGCCCGCGGCGCCCGAGGACGCCGCGGCCGCGCCCGAGGCCGACGGCGGCGAGCGCGCGTCGCAGGACCTGCGGCTGGGCCTCGCGGAGGCCTGGGCGGCGCTCGCGCTCGCGGAGGCGCAGCACGCGACGATCCGCCGGGCCGCGGCGGCGCCCCACATCGAGTGGTCGCTCGTCGCGGCGCTCTGCGCCGACGAGCGCCAACGCTACGCGGACGCCATCGCCGGCCGCGTCGCGTCCCTCACCGCGAACGCGGCGTCGGCCAAGTCCGTCAAGGAGTGGGCGGGCAAGCGCGTCTGCACGGCCTTCCTCAGGAGCCACGTCGACTACAAGGGCGCCTACTTCGAGGCGCTCGCGCGCTACTGCGCCGGCGCGGCGGCCCTCGAGAAGGCCGTCGCGGACACGGACGAGGCCAGCTGCGGCGTCGCGTGCGCGGAGCTCGCCGAGGCCGCCCGGGCCATGGCGGCGGCGTCGGCGTCGGCCAAGGACTACGTGGCCAACGCCAAGGCCGTCTGCTACGTCGACAGCCCCGTCGTCGCGCTCGGCGACGCCGCGGCGACGATCCGCCGCGCGCTCGACCGCGCGAACCAGCTCAACAACGGCATCTTCCACAAGCCCGTGCCGCCGCCGGGCCCGCTCCCGCCGGCCAAGTCCCTCGTCACGGCCATACCCTTCGACGACCCGCCGCCGAGCCCGCTCTGGACGGACCGGGCCTGGGCCGCGTTCGACGCGGCGGAGCTCCCCGCGCCGACCTTCGGCCCCGCGTCCGAGGGCCGCGACTGCTGCGTAATCTCCTAGGTTCAAACTCCCAGGTTCAACGTGCACTTCAACGTACCAATATCTAGACGAACTCGGAGGCGCGGACCTCGTTGAGGAGGCTGTAGAAGCCGCCGCCCTCCCTGCGCGTCGGGCTCGAGACGAGGCGCGTGAAGTTCCGGACGTCCGCGGCGTCGTCGTCGTCGTCGTCGCCGTCGTCGGGCGCGCCGATGAGCTCGGAGAGGCGCGTCTCGTAGGTGTCGCCCTCGTCGTCGTCGTCGCCCTTGGCCGCGGCCTTGGGCGCGTACTCGACGCGGTTCGAGATGGCCTTGGCCTCGCCGGGCCGGTTCAGCCGCCAGTGGCGCGCCGCGGCCGCGGCCTTGGGCTCCGGCGCGGGCGACGGCGGCGCGGCGCCCGGCGCCGGCGCCGGGTGCGCGGCCTTGGGCGAGCCGTTGAAGGTGAAGTGGCGCACGGCCGGGGCCTTGGCCTCCGCGGGCTCGCCCTTGCGCTCGCGGCCGCGGCCGTGGTTGCTGTCGTCGCTGTCCGTGCGCGCGAGGTCGCCCTTGGCGCCGGCCTGGGCAGCAAAAGGGTGATTCAACGTCGCTTCAACGTGAGTGTTCCGCGCGCGCGCGTTCCGGGAAAAGCATCCACGCTTCGAGGCCGTTCCAAGAGATGATCGCTCGTCCAAAAATCAGCCGAAACGAGTGGAAAATGGCCGAGATCGAAGCCTTTGAAGTTGGGAATTTCGCTCTCTTTTGCTGCCCTTGGCTCCGGCGTCGCGGCCGTTCTTGTACGTCTTGTCGTCGACGAGGAGCTCGAAGACGTCGGAGTCGTCGGGCCGCGCGGCGCGCGCCTCGCGGAGCACGTAGGCGTGGCCCCGCCGCGCCCAGCCGTACTCGAAGCGGCCCCGGCCCGACTTCTTCACCACGGGCTCGCCGTCGACCGTGAGGAGCGTCGACCGCCCGGCCAGCGCGAAGCGCACGGCGACCTCGATGACGTGCTCGTCGCGGTCCGACGCCTCGAAGGCGACGCAGTAGAGCGTGCGCACCTTCGTGAAGCCCAGGCGGCTCCGGCTCTCGACGACCTTGCGGCTCACGGACTGCGCCGCGCACCGCCGGCCGAGCTCCTCGTCCTCGGCCATCATGGCGCCGCTCCGACGCGAAGCCGAGGAGCCCACGGACGGCGGCGGCGACCTTTTCGGGGCGGAGGGGCGTGAGTGGGCGCTGCGCGCTCTCCGGGGCCGACCAGGTTTTTACAGCTAGGCTAGGAGAGGTTAACAGCAACAACGGCTATGTTGACATCAACAACTCACACATCACCGCAGCGTCATCTCGCAGCGTCCGCAGCACATCACATCACCACCGCGCGCGCGCCAACCATGCGCGCTGCAAGAGCCGCACGCAGCGCGCTCCGCCGCGCCGCACCTGCGACGCTCATCGCGCGCCGCTCGCTCTTCGTCGAGCTCGAGCGTGACGTCGTGCGGCCCGCGGCCCTCGCGGCCTACAAAGCGCGCGTCGCGGCCCACGGCGCCGCGCGCGGCGCCCTCGACGAAGGCTACAGGGCGTCCTTCGGCGTGGCCGTGGGCCGCACGAGCAGCGTCTACCACCTCGGCACCGTCGCCGACTACGACGCGCGCTCCGCGCGCGACGCCGCCGAGGGCCTGCGCGCGCCGCTCGACGGCGTCGACGCGACGGAGACGTCCGTCTTCGCCGAGGCGACGGCGACGCTCGCCGGCGCGGGCCTCCCGGGCCTCGCCGGCGGCGCGGTCGTCGACGCGGCGCCGGGCGCGGTCTACGAACTCCGCACCTACGAGCTCGTCCTGGGCTACGCGACGGTGCCGCGGTTCCTCGAGCTCTACGCCGCGGGTCTCGCGGACAAGCTCGCCGTCGACGACACGGGCGAGAGCACGCTCGTGTCGCTGCTCCACAGCGAGGCCGGCGTCGCGCCCCTCAACACGGTCATCGAGCTCTGGCGCCACGACTCCGCGCAGGGCAGCATGCGGTCCCGGGTCAAGTCCCGCGAGGCGACGACGTGGCGCGCGGCCATCGGCGACATCGCCGCCATCTCGACGCGCTTCGAGACCCAGCTCCTCGCGCCCCTCTACGCGTAAGGGACTGCAACGTCGATTCAAGATTAAAGGCTCGCTCAATCCTTGCCACAAAAGGTGAGAGCTCTCTGATGGAGCCGCCGCGCTGCGCCGTCTTCGTCGCGCGCCACGGCGAGCGCGAGGACTACGCGTGGCACAAGCGCGGCGAGAACTGGCAGGCGACGGCCGCGCGGCCCTGGGACAGCCCGCTGACGCCGGCGGGCCACCTCCAGGCGCGGGCCATGGGCGCCGCCGCCGCCGCGCACGCGGAGCGGCTGGGCCTCGCGCCGATTTGCCACATCGCGTGCTCGCCGCTGCTGCGCTGCGTCGAGACCGCGGCGGCCGCGGCGACGGCGACGGGCGTGGAACGCGTCGTCGTGGAGCCGCGACTGTCGGAGACGATGTGCGAGGCGTGGTACCGGAGCTGGGCCGTGCCCGGCGCGGACAGCACCTGGGGCGGCCCCGCGGCCTGCCGCAAGGGCGTCGCCGTCGCCGAGGCCGACCTGCACCCCGCGGCGCGCGCGGCCGCGGCCGCGACGCACGCGACCGCGGCGGAGACGGCCGCGCTCCGCGCGACGGCGTCCCTCTCGGACCTCGGCGCCGGCGTGCCGGCCGTCGACGGGGACGCGCGCGCGACCTTCGCCTACCGCTGGGGCCACTTCGAGACGGACGCGGCCCAGACGGAGCGCATGGTCGCCGTCCTCGAGGCCCGGGCGTCGCGCGGCGGCACCGCGCTCCTCGTGTCCCACGGCGGGCCGACGGGCGCGCTCTACCGGTCGCTGACGGGGCGGCGGACGGACTGCGGCTACTGCGGCCTGTTCTGCTACGTGCGGAACGCCGACGGCTCCTGGGACGCGCCCGTCGCCGGCGACCACGGCCACCTCGACGCGGTGCCCGGCGCGGACCGGTCGGGGCGCAACGACGCCGCGGAGCAGGGCCCGAAGCCGCCGGACGACGCGGCGGGCGCCTTCGCGGCCGCGCAGCGCGCGGCCCGCGCCGGCGACTACGCCCAGATGGGCGCGTACCTCAAGGAGAACGCGTACTAGCGGCGTCCTTAGCGCACGCCCGTCGCGTGCTTCTGGCGGTTCTGGAGGTAGTGGCGCCCCGCCTCCCAGCGGGGGATGACGCGGTAGATCTCCTTGGAGAGGACGACGGGCGAGTGGAGGAGCCGCGAGTTCGACGTCGCGTCGAGGATCGCGCGGCGGCGGTCCTTCTGGCTCATCTTCTTCGCCTTCTTCTCCGTCAGCGCGAACTTGATGGCGACGCGCTCCCCCGCGACGTCCGGCAGGGGCTCCTCGGGCACGAAGCGCTCGTCGACGTGGGGCGGGTCGAGGCTGTAGTCGCGCGCGAGGATCGCGTCGTCGGGCTCGACGCGGTCGCCGACGTCGCGCCAGTCGGCGAGGACGGCCGGCGGCGGCGGCCGCTCCTCGATGAGCTTGATGAGCGACTTGAAGTAGCGGTTGCGCCCGTTCTTGGGCCACTCGGCCTCGATCTGGTCCGCGAGCTTGTAGTGCGGCGAGTAGGGGTTCGCGGCCGCGGACCGCTGGGGCCGGTCCCGCGCCGTGAGGATCGCCGCGCCCTTGGACACGTCGCCGCGCTTGCCGAGCTTGTCGAAGTTGATGGACGTGTAGCCCTCGATCTGGTCGAGCATCGTGTCGTGCGTCTTGTCGTCGCCGAGGCCGCCGCCGCCGGGCCCGTCGCCGCCCTCCGAGCGCGGCGTCGAGCGGCCCGAGGCCTCCGAGGCGTCGTCGGCGCGCCGCCGGTGGAGCCGCGCCGGCGGCCGCCCGGCGAAGCGCGCGACCTTGGGCCGCGGCCGGCCGTCGCGGAGCAGCTCGCGGAGCGGCTTGGGGCGCGGCGCGGCCGCGCGCTGCATGGCCGCGAGGGACACGCCGACCTGGGCCCGGTTGGTGCCGCGGCTGATGGACCCGGCGATGGCCGCGGACGCGCTGCGCACGAGCGCGGACGGGTCGAGGCCCGGGCCCGGGTCCGCGTCGGGCCCGTCGAGCGTCAAGCGGCCGCCGCCGCGGCGCGCGGGGCCCATGATGTCCAGGGGCGCCGCGCGGATCTGGCCCAGGGCGATCTTCAGCTCGTCGCGCTTCCCCTGCTCCTTCGCCGCCGTCGCCGCGCGCTTCCGCACCATCTTGTCGAACGCGACGGCGCCGACGAGCGCCTCTCGCGTCAATAATTTGGACCGGGACTCGCGCAGCGCGTTGCTGTCGGGGAAGTCGGGCCGCTTGAAGGCGTCCTCGCTCTTCTCCGGGGGCCTCGCGTCGCGCGCGCCGCCGCGCCGCGGCGCCTTCTCGACGACCTTGGGCCGGCCCCAGGCGGGCAGCTCCCCGCGCAGCTCCGCGGCGAGGGCCGCCGCGTGGGCCGCGAGCTCGGGCAGCTCGAGCTGCGTGAAGGCGTAGACGTCGGCGTCGTCATCCGGCCGCAGGGCCGCGGCGGCGACCATGTCGGCGGCGCGGCGGCGGGGGCTGCGGCCCCGGGGGGAGGGAGCGCTCAGCGCCTCCGAGGTCTCTAGAGGTCTGATACGCTGCAACGGAGCCGCAGCCGCCTCCTTGCCGCAGAGATGCTGCAGCTGATCAAGTGGTGATCGCTGAGCCGATGGCCGATACGCAGCAACAGCCGGGCGTGACCGACGGCATCGCCGACGAGGACCTCCTGAAGCAGGTGCGCCGCCCCCCGCC